CCCTGAACCACGAAAAAAAATGAATTTTCAATATGTTAGACATATATTTTATAAATAAATAAGCTATTGACAGATTTTGAAACTAAGGTTTTGATGGGGTTTTTGGTTTTCTTGTATTTCACCTGATGGGTTTCATTCTTAAACAAGAAGTTTTCTTGTCCCCTTTGTAGCTAATCTGAGATACCAGGTAAGAGATGGAGTCAAACCAGACAAACGAGGTCTGACTCACCTTGCTAGGTACGTGACTTTTCCTTAACTTCCCTGAGCCTCGCCGTCCTCATCTGCAGAATGCAAGAGCATTAAATTCAGGCCACCCTGAGGATTACCCAGCACACTGCAAGTACCATATGTTGACTCTGCTTTCTCCCAAATGTCCCATCGTTGTGGGTATATCTGTTTTGTGGGTCATTTTAATTTTCTGTGTTTCTCAGACTCAGGAGTTATAAACCCACCTGACTAGGAGAAGCACTAAAACTTCTCTGAAAAGGTCATTCTACCACCTGGCAAAGGTGGATGCCCAAAGAAAGCTTCCTTGCCTCTTCTTAGGAAGCCAAGTGAGGGCCAAATGTAAAAGGTAAAGCCGCGTTTCTCCACTCGGGGGGAGGACATGCAGGAAGGGGCCGTGTCTCCTCTAATCTGCGTAGCAATGTGTAGCTGGCCCTCTTCTGTAGGATTTCTTATCCAGGGGAGCCTATCAGAAGCCCAGCGCTCCTTATCCCCATGTCCACCCACAACCGAGAACCTCTGCCCTAATCAATGCAGGCTGCCTTGTCTTCTCACACACCTCAAAACTGATTCAACACACCGGTGAGTCACAGCATCTCCTGGGTTACACACGTGTAAACAAACACACGAAACCCAAAAAGGATACCATGCACACAGCAGGACTCCGAACCAGTGCCTTCTGGTGACCCCTCTGCCAATTTGGCAAGGCTCACAGACACCTCCTCAGAAGAAAGTTTTGAAGACATAAAATACAAAGGACTGCAAAGGAAAACAATTGCATCTAAAACTTGAAAAACTCTAGGATATGAACAACGACAAAAAAGTCTGTGATATATGATAAGTGCTTCTTTATTAAAGAATAAAATAAAAGATCTAAATAAATAAGACATATTCCATAACACTGTATTCCACAACACTGAGCGTTCTACACGTCCATTTCACCTATAATAAAAACAGCTCTACCCAACTATAACATGAAATAAAAGATCTATTAGCACATTTAACAACAAATGTAATTTCATGGCAGTGATGAGCAAAGGCAGTAACTCAAAGTATCTGCTTCCACTGAAGCATGACATGAAAATATCTGTGATTTCTACTGGTGACAATATCACAGGTCCTGCTAATACCACTGTGCCTATGTGAGTCTATGTTCATAATTAAAGGAAATGCTGCATTTCAGTTAGAAGTTAATAAAAATAAAAATGTGATTTTTTTTCCCCTTTATAGTGCATGGAATCCCTAAATTCTCTCTACAGACCCTTTAGGGGTCGCAGGACCTCAGTGAGAGAGAGCTCCGCTCTACAGGGTCCTGTATTTATTTATTTTTTTTTTATTTTTATTTTTTTTTGAGACGGAGTCTTGCTCTGTCACCCAGGCTGGAGTGCAGTGGCCGGATCTCAGCTCACTGCAAGCTCCGCCTCCCGGGTTTATGCCATTCTCCTGTCTCAGCCTCCCAAGTAACTGGGACTACAGGTGCCTGCCACCTCGCCCGGCTAGTTTTTTTTGTATTTTTTAGTAGAGACGGGGTTTCACCGTGTTAGCCAGGATGGTCTCGATCTCCTGACCTCGTGATCCGCCCGTCTCAGCCTCCCAAAGTGCTGGGATTACGGGCTTGAGCCACCGAGCCCAGCCAGGGTCCTGTATTTAAGAGTTAACACCTGATCATTCAATTGACAGATATTTAGGAAATAGTTATGTTGCTCTAACTACAGGAACCACAGAAGAAGATACAGAATTAAGTTAAGGCTTTGACGTAAGCATGCTCTAAGAACTTTCAGAATCTCTGCTCAATGTTTATTTTGGTTCTTTCAGTTTTATTATAAGTTGTGTTATCTACTGCCAAACTCACCAGGATTTCTTCTTTTTTCCTAACTGTATAATTAAAAACAAAGCAAACAAACAAAAAAGACACTCTCTCTCTGTTCAAAAGTCTACTGTTTGTTTGTTTGTTTGCTTGCTTGCTTGTTTGCTTGTTTTGAGATGGAGTTTCACTCTTGTTGCCCAGGCTAGAGTGCAATGTTGCGATCTCGGCTCACCGCAACCTCCGCCTCTTAGGTTTAAGTGATTCTCCTGCCTCAGTCTCCTGAGTAGCTGGGATTACAGGCATGTGCCACCATTGTTTCTCCATGTTGGTCAGGCTAGTCTCAAACTCCCAACCTCAGGTGATTTGCCCACCTCGGCCTCCCAGAGAGCTGGGATTACAGGCGTGAGCCACAGCGCCCGGCCTCAAGTCTCCTGTTAAACAGATTTTAGAAACTGTGGATCAATGCCACGGAGTAAACACTGAGCCTTCCACACATCCATTTCACCTATAATAAAACCAGCCCTACCCAAATGCAGGCATTTTACAGGAATGAAATGAGGCAATTTGTGCCAATGTTCTCTGAAAATTGTGTAGTGTTGCCCATGGATGGTCTTCCAATTACACTGTAAATGTCAGTGATTAATCAAAGTGTGAATGGTGCCAAGTGCAGTGGCTCATACCTGATTTCCCAGCACTTTGGGAGGCTGAAGCAGGAGGATTGTTTGAGGCCTGGAGTTAGACACCAGCCTGGGCAACATAGGGAGACCCCATCTCTCCAAAAAAAAAAAAATTAAAAATTAGCTGGGCTTGGTGGTACATATATGTAGTCCTAGCTACTCAGGAAGCTGAGGTGGGAGGGTTGCTTGAGGCCAGGAAGTCAAAGCTGCAGTAAGCCATATGTGCACCACTGCACCCCAGCCTGGGCAACAGAGCAAAACCCCTGCCTCAAAAAAAAAAAAGTTGCCAGGCGTGGTGGCTCATGCCTGTAATCCCAGCACTTTGGGAGGCCAAGTCAGGTGGATCACAAGGTCAGGAGATCAAGACCATCCTGGCTCACACGGTGAAACCCCGTCTCTACTAAAAATACAAAAAAAAAAAAATTAGCCAGGTGTGGTGGCGGGCGCCTGTAATCCCAGCTACTTGGGAGGCTGAGGCAGAAGAATGGCCTGAACCCGCGAGGTAGAGCTTGCAGTGAGCAGAGATCGTGCCACTGCCCTCCAGCCTGGGCAACAGAGCAAGACTCCGTCTCAAAAAAAAAAAAAAAAAAGCTGTATGAGTGGGACCCAGGAGTCTCCTTTGACAGAAATGGCCATGATAGGTACTGCAGAATCACAAGAGGGTCTCCTAAGGAAAGGTAGGTAACACAGTGAATTTTTTTTTTTTTTTTTTTTTGCAGACGTCTACAGTCTGAAAAAAGCAAATACAAAATCTACCAAGGAGGTTACTGCAGACTCGGTTTTCCACACGATACCACATATCTCCTTGGTGGTACAGACGTCATGAATCAACAAAATGACTTGCTAGGAGCCTCCTATATGCTACAAGACACACTAGAAATTCTAAAGCTTCAACTTCAATACGAGTACAAGTCTAACATGCTTCACAACTACCCTGGTGTGGATTATTCTATTATCACCCCTACTGAAATTGATTATCTGCAGTATTCACAAAGACTCTGCAGGGTTTATGGGTCAATGTAAGCAATACTTTTTTCTTATTAATATCTAATAAAGAGAACCTGAAAACATCCCTAGACACACCCTAAAGGAGAAACTTGTAGTACCAAACCAACTTGTTTATTATAAATGATCTCACAAATTCAAGAATATTGGAGAGATCAGCCTGTATTAGTAAAAATAATTACAAGAAATTTTTGGAGATGAGACATAAGCTGGATTTGAACCAAGTTATCTGCAGGTAGAAGGATTGGTATCCTTTTTTTTAAGTGACACAGTGATAGATATATAAATTATCGGCTGCCATAAGTTTCTAAAGAGTGAAATTACTTCTAAAAGAGCACATTTTGAATAATCATCAGAATCATAAAGTATTCATTTTTTAAATTACCCTTTTTTTCACAAGTGTGCAATATCAAGTTTCACACCCTGGCCATCACGACCACACTGAAAACACTCACCTAGTTTACTGCTCACCCTACCAGGTATCAGCTCTGCAGCATGACTAGTTTGCTGCTGCAGCGGCATTTGGACTCTCCAAATAACCAGCTTAGTGAGCTTTCACACACGAGTTATCAGCCTTGGTATACATGTTTTGCTATGTCACATAAATGAGCAGCCTAGATGTTCCCAGTATCTTTGGTTTTAAATTTAGACAAACTCCTTCCCAGTGAGTTTCTAAGGACTTGTGGTACTTTTGCTAAGAAACAGAAATAGGAACATTTTCAAATTCTTCTGTACAGTCAAAAAAAAAAAAAGTTGGCTCCCACCTATAATCCCAGCACTTTGGGAGGCCAAGGTGGGTGGCTTAAGGTCAGGAGTGGCCAGGTTGGTCAGTCTGGACAACATGGTAAAGCCCCGTCTCTACTAAAAATACAAAAATTAGCCGGGCATGGTGGTGCGTGTCTGCAGCCCCAGCTACTCGGGTGGCTGAGGCAGAAGAATCGTTTGAACCCAGGAAGCAGAGGTTGCAGTGAGCCAAGATAGCACCATTGCACTCCAGCCTGGGCAAGAGAGCCAGACTCCATCTCAAAAAATAAATAAATAAAAAGTTGGCTCAAATGAAAATCTTAACTTGATTCTTACTCCTCTAAAATTTCTATTCAGAACATTTAACATTTAAAATTGGGACGTTTCATGAGGTTAACCCCTACAGTCGCATTTCTTTGACCACCTTTCCAAAGGTGGCAAGCCACAGCACAGGGTAGCCAGTACAAGATCTTATTTGGGGCCATGGCTAAGAAGAACCGGTCATGATACTGCCATCACAACACACATGGACAACTACTTACGGAAGTATTTTAGCGTCTCTTCAATTTGCTCGGTTGTGAGGTCAATGTTGGCATCTGGAGAAATGAGAGGTGTATGGAGCCAGTCGTCGTGGTCATAACCGTAGATGGTGTCGGCTCTTAACTTATAATGGGGCAGCTGCTCCTCCAGCAGGCTAATGATCTCGACTTCCGGAAGATCGGTGCTGTTGCACACATCTAAAGACAAGACAACCAAGAAATGAAAGCCCAGAAATGGTTATGGCCTTGCTGCTAGTTAACTAAACTTGTAGCCTGCAGCAGCCATCTTTGGTTATTTATCTACAGCACGAAGAAGCCAGACAAGCCTATGTCAGGAATCCTTTTCCAATTTAAATTATATTCTCAAAACTTTGAATTAATTGTGCACGCTTACGGCCAAGACCTACCCAAACGTTTCCTGCTGTTTAGTGTCCACTCTTTAGGAAGAAAAGCCAAAGGTTTTGAGCTTTTATCATCTGAGTTAAGTCTTTCCACTATTTAGGAAGAAAAGCCAAAGTTTTTGAGCTTTTATCATCTGAGTTAAGTCTTTCCTCCAACCCTTTCTCTGGCCATTCTCCTTCAAGCACTCTACATGTCTGCCGAGCCGGTATTAATTTCACCAATATGCCTAACTACTTCTTGCCACTCTTTTCCCATTCAAACTATCCTCCCATCTAGAATTCTGCCTTCATTTAATTTATTCATTCATCTGTTCATTCATCCACACTTCCTTCCTTCCATCCATGCATCCATTTGTATCCTGAGTACCAGGGGCATAGGAGACACAGTGGTGAACATAAGAGTCACGGTCCTGCCCTTGAAACACTTATATCCTTATGGGGCATCCAGCAATTATACCAATAGACGCCCATCCCTTAAGGAATACCTTGAATACCACCTGACATACTGGTGTTTTGAGCACACCAAGCAGAATTAGTCTCTCTTACCCTTTCTACACTGACATGCCATTTTGTCAGAACTTCAGTTACTAGACTTATTAAGTGTCTTGTGGGTATTTCAGCATCTGACTCATTTAGTTAGGAGAGGGCAAACTTCCATACACAGCTACCCTTGATCCACCACCTGTACGCCATAGCTCTTGGCCCAGGCTGTGCTCAGGGGGTGCATACTAATACCTGTGACAGAGAACCAATTCACACAAAGCACATTAATGCAGGCCTTTAAACTGCAAACATGACAACATGGCAAACATAACCAGGACATGTACCTTACTTCTCTATCCCAGTGCTTACTCATCAAAGGAGAACACAGACACTGAATTAAATAAGCGCTAATGGGTGAGTGATCATTATCTATCAACTAATTCTGGCATCATCTACTGTATCAGCCCATTGTGCATAAGGCATTTGACACCTATGATGGGAAACGGCCCATGGGAGCAGCAGTGGTTCCGTCAACCCATAAACAAACCAAGTGCTTGTGGTGCACACAACTAGACAGGACAGGAGAGTTAACTTGGTATTTTGTTCTAGGAATGAGTCTTCAACAAAGAAAAATTATTCAAAAGATAAGAATATTACTGAGGTTGATTCTTATTTTTTTTTAAGATAGTGTCTCACTCTGTTGCCCAGGCTGGAATGCAGTGGCACAATCTTGGCTCACTGCAGCCTTGACCTCCTAGCCTCAAGCATTCCTCCCACCTTGGCCTCCTGAGTAGCCAGGACCACTGATGTGCACCACCAAACCCAGCTAATTTTATTTTTTGTAGAGACAAAGTCTCCCTATGTTGCCCAGGTGGGTCTTGAACTCCTGGGCTCACGCAATCCTCCTGCCTTGGCCCCCCAAAGTGCTGGGATTACAGGCATGAGAAATCTTGCTGGTCCTGAGGTCAATTCTTATCAAAGTCACAGTACCATGCTGTTGCTTTGAAATAGAAAACAAAAATGAGAACCTGGATCAAGTGGAGGACCAAACTCACTCTTCGGTCTCCATCCCTCTCCAAGATGTTAGAAGGGGCAGAGGAGAGGGGGAAAAAAAATTACTTGTGACAAATAAAACCACACAACAGCATGGGAAAATAAAGACGAGATGCTGAGGACGAACCAAAAGTATGAGGTATTCCTAAATATGGTAAGATCAAATTAAAGGAGAAAGGCCCAGTCTTACACATGAGCATTCATTCACACATACGTACATGTCTACACATGCACAGGAAATGACTGGTGCAGTCAGTGGGAGTAGATCCTGGGGTGCTCCACACGGGAGGCTACTGTCAGAAGCAGCAAGAAGGGCCAGGGGCAGGGATTCACTGCAGAACCAAAGCAGGAACAGCAGAGAGGACCAGTCCCTTCCCTGTTCCCCCTGCTTGAGCCAAGGCTAGGAAGGCAGGAAGGCAGTAACTGTGGGGGCTGTACACACTCAGGTAGAACATGGAACACCTCTGCCTGGAAGAAGAGCAATGCCAGAGACTTTGTGTCAAATAAGAAGGCCATTCAACAGGTGAAAAAATAATGGATTTGTGAGAAAAGAGAGCATAATGACTCATGACCCTTTGGGCAGGAGCCCACTGAAAACACCTGTCAGCACCCACCTACCTCCTGCAGCTTCCTACCATTCCATACTAACAGCTCTCCCTCAATTCAATATGCAAAGCTTTGCCATAGAGCATTTCCACTCAGGGAGTTGGCATGGTTTTCCAAAATGCCAAGGAAAGGATTAAAAATGAGAAAGCGAGGACATTTAGAATTTTACTTGGTGCTTTAGGAAAGCAGTTCAGTCCTGGAGGGGGGACTACATCTCACTGCTGGGACTTCTCTGCCTCATGAGGGAAATGTCACAGCAAGTACACTTGGTATTTCAGCCAGCCAAAAACAAGACCAGACCTGCTCCGTCACTTTGCAAAGCTCTGCTGGGAACAGAAGTTACGTCCTCCCCAGGGTAGAGCAATAGCCCAACCTCAAGGCGGAAGATTTCTCATATTTCTTCCCATCTCCCACTAGCAATAAACCACCATTCAAAGGCTCAAGATGGGCCCGTAATAGGCAAATATTTCCTCTTCTCACTATCAAGTAAAGAGTGAGTTCCCATGAAGTTAATCTCTGGGAAAGACCTCACAGTCATAAAACGCCACCATGTGTGTTGGGAGCAAGCCCCCAAAATCTGGCCATAAACTGGCCCCAAAACCGGCCATAAACAAAATCTCTGCAGCATGGTGACAGGTTCATAATGGCCCTAACACCCAAGCTTAAAGGCTGTGGGTTTACAGGAAGGAGGGCAAGGAACATCTGGCCCACCCAGGGTGGAAAAACACTTAAAGGCATTCTTAAGCCACAAACAATAGCATGAGCCACTTATGCCTTAAGGGCAGGTCCCGTGGCAGTTAACTAGCCCAACCTAATCCTTTCATTCGGCCGTCCCTTCGTTTCCCATAAGGGATACTTTTAGTTAACTTAATATCTATCGAAACAATGCTAATGACTGGTTTGCTGTTAATACATATGTGGGTAAATCTCTGTTCGGGGCTCTCAGCTCTGAAGGCTGTGAGACCCCTGATTTCCCACTTCACACCTCTGTATTTCTGTGTGTGTGTCTTTAATTCCTCTAGCGCCGCTGGGTTAGGGTCTCCCCGACCGAGCTGGTCTTGGCAATGTAACTGATGGAACATGGGGCCAAACAGGGTTGACACCTAGTCGGTAGCATCTCTTGGCTAAACATGGATCTGGTCAAACTGTCTCCACAGCAGCTCCACAAAAGGCAGTGCCAGCCTATCCCTAGTAGAACAGGCAGGGAACCAACACATTCTCGCCTGACACACCCACATAACAGGCTAGAATCATCTGGTGTCCATGTTGTTTGGTGGTGGGGAAAGCAACAGACTCCAGAAAGGAAAAAAAAAAAAAAAAGGTCCCCTCTAAGAAATCTAAGAATAAGGTGACCCCTTGTGGCCAAGGTCAAGGAGAGCTGCACAGGCCATCTCCATAATCCTACCCCATGTCCTCATTCTTTGGGCCTTTAAAGCATCTGAAAATTTGCCAGGGCTGAAGGTCAACCTATTTACAGCGTGGTCCTTGTGCCCATGTGATATCTTTTTCCTTAAAGCATATGACCAGTGAGATAAAGTATCAAAAGGTAAGGCTATGACAAAATGCCTTTTTAAAAAACTCTGGCCCAGGCGCAGTGGCTCACACCTGTAATCTCAGCACTTTGGGAGGCTGAGGCGGGTGGATCACTTGAGGTCAGGAATTCGAGACCTGCCTGGCCAACATGGTGAAACCCTGTCTCCACTAAAAATACAAAAATTAGGCAGGCCTAGTGGTACGCACCCGTAATCCCAGCTACTCAGGAGGCTGAGGCAAGAGAATCACTTGAACCCGGGAGGCAGAGGTTACAGTGAGCCAAGATCACACCACTGCACTCCAGCCTGGATGACAGAGCAAGACTCTGTCTTAAAAAAATAAAAATAAAAAAAGCTCTGTATATTTGACTTTTCTGTGACCAGCCTTATAAACATTAGCAGCAAATTTTCAGATGCCTTAAAGGCCCAAAGAATTAGGACATGGGGTAGGATTATGGAGATGGCCTGTGCAGCTCTCCTTGACCTTGGCCACAAGGCCAAAAGCCCCACGGACCCCCTATGGAAGGAGACACCACGTTTGCCTCAAGGAGAGGACACATTCAAGGCCTGACGTCAGGTAAACGTAACAGAATAATCTTCAAGAATTCCCCAGGAATGCTTTCACCATGGCGAACATCACTCCAGAGCATTGTCTCTCACCCTCCCAGCAACCTGGGACACAGAGATTTGCCTGTTATTGCAGATCAGTAAGCTGGGATGCATAAGGGCTGGGGGATATCTTGTTGGTCAAGTTGATCCAGCTAACTAAGCAGCAGGTCAGGCAAGAGCAGCCTCAGCTGTTCCACTGAAAGTTGTGCTCTTCCCTCCAACACCTGCTAGCCAGTTCCTAGGAGGATACACTTGAAATGCTGGGGAATTCCCAGGATGTCATCATCAGGAAGTTTTTGTTCTAAACAGGTGGAAGACTTCATACATGTGGCAGCCATGTAAAATGAAACACACAAATTAGGGAGATGTTGGAATAATTTTCTCCTTTAAAGCACAGGAAGCAGAGGCAAGAATTTAGTAACTTGTCTGCAGAACCACAGAGGGTCAGGGGCCTGCGTAGGATGGGAGCTTATTCAAGTTCCTGCTCTGAATGGACACTGCCGGCCCACCGTGG